TATATATATATATATATATATATATATATATATAATATATATATATATATATATATTATATATATATATATATATATATATATATATATATATATATATAATATATATATATATATATATATATATATATATATATATATATATATATATATATATACATATATATACCAGACAGTTTATTGCTAAAGGGAATGCAAATTTTTTTAAGCTGCAAGCAAAGTAGTGAAATGAAAAATAAGTGTATAGAATAACAGGACAATAGCCAAACAGTTAGATTGTTTAGGTAATTGAATCTAATTGTAACTCCATGAAGACAAACTAGATGGTAATGCTGATCACAGCTATCCTTTATTCTCAACAGTCTGTTTACAGTGCTGCTGTTGAGAAATGCATAGCAAACTCAAGAATTGTAGACCTCTTAGGAGATTCTGTGAAAAGTTATGGAGAGGAAAGTCGGCGTGGACGTAGGCAGCATATCAGGTGAGTTGACTTTTCTCACACCCTAAAGGTTGTTTTAGCAATTAATTAATGCCTATTGTCTGTCTGCTAGCCTTGTGCATCTCAAATTTTGATATCAACATTCCTTTGATTGTTGCTGGCAATTATTCCTTTACAGTTTTATTCATTTCCAAGATATAAAATGTACTAATTGCTATTCCCCCTTTTGGTCTCTTGTGTTTATTCAACTTCCTTTCCTTTATACACCCTCCCAATACGTTACTCGTTGTGGTGGGCTTAGGAGACGGAGACTGCTGATTGCCCCTACCTTGGACTTCAACTGTCACCTCAACTAATTTTGCTTAGTCTTTTCTTTTCCTCCTTTCCTCTTCAGTATCTTCATCATCCCCTTCTACTGTCCCATTCCTAAGATGTGAGAGCTGTGCTGAAAAGATGAAAGACTGGCTCTATATCAGTCATGAACTGCCTCCAGAAGCCATTGAATAATTGGCTAGCCATTACCCCTTTTGGGGACCGTGAGGGGTAATAATAATGAAGATTCTTTACCCTTAATAGGGGCATTAAAGCTTACCCCTTCATAAACTAGCCTATCTGATTTTGATATTGATGGTTTTCCAACCCCTGCCCACCATCTTTAACCAGGGCTCTAACCACTGATACTAATACCCCCTCTTCAACATTTACTGACAACTCTATCCAGTCTGAACCACCCACCCAGGTTATTAATCAATCTCCAGAATACAGCCCTTCCTCTATCCTAGCATTCTCTTCTTCTACTGCACAGTCTTCTTCAGTGGCTACCCCCTCTTCCCTTATTATTGTTCTTCATTCTTATTATCCTCCCCCCCACAGAACTGCTCCACTTCTACACCACCCTATCTTCTTTCCGCCCTCATCCTTCTATTGCTTCTACCTCTGCAAACCTTTTGAGTACTCTCTTTGGCCCAGCCAAGTGGGATCAATTCTTTGATTCTCCCCACATCCCCCTACTCTGAGAATACCATTATCTTTCATCAGTGCCACAATGCAGTCGCTATGATAGTTCATGCCTAGTCACAGTTACATCAAAATCCCAAGCTCTTGCACTATCTACCCTAACTGACCTTACTGGCAAACCCATTCCTGCCAAACCTCACCTCTCTCTTAACCCACTAACGATGGGTGTCCCACATATGAGACACCTGAAAAATAAACATTGCCGGGCGCCCCGCCAGTGTGACACTGTATCAGGGCTCGTGCTCCAAAAATAAAAGTTTCCAGGCAGCTACAAAATAGGCGCGTGGGGCTGGCCCAGACTCTGCATGCGCGCCAGCCACGTCACACTGGCATTTTTTTTTTTTTTTTTTTTTTTTTTTTTTTTTTTTTTTTTTCTCTCTCTCTCTCTCTCTCTCTCTCCAGGTGTCTCATATGTGAGACACCCGTCATTAGTGGGTTGATATATGCACTGGAATTGTTTCTATCTCCCCAACTGATTGTCCCAGAAATGACGAGAGCTGGTCAGATTATGAAAATGACCTACTTACCGGAATTGCTGATTATGATGCAGTAGCAGTATAGTGCTATACTATTCCTCCCAGAGGCCAGCGTAAGTCCCATGTCAGTATTGCCAAGATTAGCTTCCGCTATGAAGTTTATATTGGTTGATTGTCTTACCATGTCCGACCATATTGACCCCTTCGCTGTCAATGTCGGAAATGCTTGTGTTTTGGCCATCCAGCCAAACACTGTCACTTCATAGCTCACTCCCTTCTGTGTGCCCAACCTTGTTATGACTGTTCAAATTGCCTTGCTCAGTCACGTACATGTGCCAACTGTGGTGACTCCCATAACATATTTTATAGGAGCTGCCCTGCCTATAAGTTCGAGGTAGCACAATGACAAGGTTTTTCTCTCTCTACCTATTCCAAAGCAGTCCTTCGCTCTGCACCCCCCCCCCTCATATCTACAAGATGTTTCTGCATCACCCCCAGTACCTCTTCACTCTAACCTAAACCATCCTTCCTCTACTCTCCTTATCCCTCAGTCAAATCCCTTTTCCATTCTAAACCCAGATATTCCAATCTCTACCACTTCTCCAATACCTACTCTTCCTCCCCCTCACTTTACATGTTCCACCAGACATCATAAATGTTCTACTCCATCTTTGCCATCTATACCCTCTACTACACCCCCCTTTTCCTCTGCTCCTCAAACATCTATCCCCTCTTTTCCTCCTCACAAGAGATAAGAGATCCATTGTTTCTCAGACCCCCCCTACCCAAATCCATCCTGAAATTCTTGAAGAAATCCAAATTCCCCTATCCGAATGTTCCGCTCGCTCATCCACCCTGCAGTCCCTCTAGATTCAAAGTATTTGCCATTATCAATCCTCCTCCCTCGCATGTTCCCCCTTCCCCTCTCCTTCTCCACGTACACCATTCCCTATTCGTTCTCCATTATCCTTACCTCTCCCACCTGGATACTCACGTGAATCCCTTCTGTCGCAACAGTGTTCTCCTCCAGGTTCCTCCCCTCCAGATGCTGACCTTCCTACCCAAATCCACCCAGAAACTCTTGTAGACATCCAAAAGCTCCAAGATATAACCCAAGAAAATGTTCTGCTCCCTCATCCACCCTCCAATCCCTCTACATTCAAAGTATTTGCTGATATCCTTCCTCCTCCTCCACAAGTTCCCCCTTTCCTTCTTCCTTCTTTCCTAACTCATTTCCATGTACCAACCCCTTTCCTCCGTACCTCTCCCCACCCTGAATACTCAGTGAATATTACCTCTCTGATCCGTACCTCTCCCACCTGAATACTCAGGTGAATCCCTTCTGTCGCAACAATATCCTCCTCTGGATTCCTCCCCTCCTGATGGTCTTCCTGGTACTTCACCTCCTTCCCCAGAAAATGCCTGTCAACCAAAACCTTGTTTTGAGATAATCAAGTTTGAAAGATGTTATCTCAACAGTTTTTACATCGATTTGGTTTTGGTTTGTCTTAAAAGATCCCAGTTTAAGGCCTTTTACTTTTGTTAATAATATTTTGGAATGGTAAGTAAAAGAAGGGAAAAAAAAGGTCATGTAATTCATAGCTTATGGATGACATTAGGTTCATGTCATCGCCGACTTGATCGGGACTCTGTTTGATGTATTAATAGTGTCACAGACGTGGCTTTGGGCAGCAGGTTATTCACATCATGTTACCAAGGATGTTACAATTTATTCCGTTCTTTATGAAAAACCCTCATGCGCACAACACATGCCCTGGGGTGTTGACTGAGGATGAACAGAAGGTATAATGCTATAATTGGATATTGTTTTGTATAAAGGGTGAATTTTAGGACATAGATAATTTGCCTACCATTCATGGAAAATCCCATGCCTCTACAACGCTCTCTCATGCTACTGATGTGAAACCTCGTCCTTTCTTACTTTTGATGGTGGTGCGGCACAATGATTGCTACCCTACACAAAGGATTTGAGGAAGGAGAGTCGCCTGCCCGCATACTCCCCAGAGCAAAGGCTAAGTCCCTATTTCTTGCTCCCAGAGGCACTGGTCAAAGTCTTCCCAATAGAAAAAAGATATATATATTTTTTTTTCTTAATTATTTTACTTTTTTCACCCAATGGCAATAGTGTTGTAGATGTTATTTGTATTTTAATAGAAATTATAATAAAAATGGAGATGATGAGCTTGCAGCAGTGATAAGACTTCCCAGGCATCCCTCAGACAGTTCAACATGTGTGAAGTATTTTTCTATAGGACTATTGAGATTCCAGTGTGCCCTGTCTATGTTTAGATTCTGATCTCATCCAGTGTGCAGTGGGGCCCAAGATGGTTGTAGAGAAGGAGTATTTCTTGAGTATTATCACCCATATACCAGAGATATAAATCCAAATATTAGAAGCAAGACTAAGAGACAAAGGCCAGCTGGTAACTATAACTCCCTACCCCCTCCTTTTGGTCGAATTGCCCTTGCTATTCACCTCTTTTTACTTAAAGCCTTTGTGGAAATGGGGATTAGACTCAGAGACGATGGGACTGGTATTTCAGAAAGAGTTGTGGTTGAGTAACATTCATATTTGCACTTTTACTTTAAACCCCTATTTTTAACCTGACCATGTCATTGCACAAAAAATTATACAAAAACCTGAATGTTACTTATTGTTACTGTTATTGCAGTTGTAGACTACCAAGAGAGATGATATAAAGTGTGTCCAAGGAAAACAGCCACTTATCATCTTGATACAACATATCAGATGACAAACATGGACCTTGGTAAATTGGAAAAACAAAAAATGCTTTTACAGAAAAAGATAGAATTGCATAGGAGGCAAGGAGTCTTGACATTGCACACACGTGTTCATGTGAGCTGGGCCGAGCCACCCACCAGGGAGAATTGCCACTCAAGTAAGCTTAGCCCTTAGGATCCAATTGTGTCATGGAAATCATGGTGTTAAAAATCCAGGCAATGGGTTTCGTAAGTGGCCAACATCCTGGCCATGTGGTGTGTAGGCTGGGTGCACATGAACACTCATGAGAGGTGACAAGACTCTGTGCCTCCCCATTACAAATTTATTTTGTGTAAACTTTTTTAGCTTTATTGCCATGTTCTTATGTCCATATTCGTCTTTTAATTTGCTTTATCCAGATGGTAATAGCATATTTTCCTTGCACAGATTCCATATCATCTCTCTGTATAGTAAATAACTCAGTGCAGGTGGAAAAAAATATGGAAGATTTGGTTATGTGTCATATATCTCATTTTTTTGTAATTTTCAACTTTGCGCCGTCAGTCACAGCAGCCAGGAATACAGTGCGCAGTATGGCATCCTCCCTGGAGCCAGTGCTCTTCTAGTCCCTGCTTACGCAAGTTACATTCCACATTCGTTTATCGATGGGAATAATGCTGGAGACCCCTTCTAAGTGCCAAATAAGTCAAATCACATTCCAAGAGGTTTGTGCACTCCTTGTGAGTCTTTTCTGTCACCCTGGCCTTTGCTCATGACGGCAAGTTCTTGTTACCCAGGCTGCGGCCAATTTGCCCGATTGACAGTGTGTTCATGTCACCCGCCCCTCGACTCAAGTTTTTCCATGACATGACCACAACGTCATCCGGGTCCAGAAGGTTAATGCCCAGATTTTGGACCATGGGGGCAGTGATGAACCTATATCCAATGGGTTAATTCTTTACCTTTGTATTTTACTAGTGGGTTACGTCACTAGTGAAATGGTCAGTGTTAGATATTAAATAATATCCACTGAACAGGTGTCAGATGCATTTGACAGCTTGGTTATTGTCCAGACGATAGGTGTCAAAACTTACTCAACAAAATGGGAAAGTTATGTACTGCGTTTCTTTTAATCAAAGGTCAACATTTCTGTTAGTGACTAATGTTGGTAATAATTATCATTACATAAATACCCTGGTCTATTTAAAACCACTTGGAAGATGGTAGAAACATTGTTTTTTTTTGTGTGTGTTTCTCATCTTTACTGCTCTTAGAGAACAGTGCAGTCAGTTGGCTGAGGGTGCACAAACCTGTATGTGTTAGATTTTGCAAAAATCACCATAATCTGAAGTAGCAAGGTCTAAGGAACTGAACATCCCTGAATAGCCTGTGTTCATGTGGTGAAGGAAACTGAAAGAGCCAGCAAATATTGAATGGAATCTCAATGATGATTGTCATGCCCTGTTGGTAGGTCTCATGCGTTTACACCCCTCCCTAAAGGATAATAACTGACAGGAGTCTCTAGAGGTTCTGAGAGCTTTTCTCTAGCATTATCTCCAACTGGTTGTATGAAGGACACTTCAGTGAGAAGGCATATAAGCTGTGTGTCATTGGCATAGCTACAGCTGTATGCACCAATGCATTTGGAATTTACTAAGTTTGAAACAAGTATGAACTCCCAGTGTCAGTGAAGTATACCTTGTCAATCCTCTTCCACTACCTGTAGAGTTGGAATATTAATTTGGTTGGCACGTTGTGCATCAACTGAAAGAATATGCTGAATGATCTGTAGTCAAACACTTGGTAATGTGATTTTCTGCATCATTTCCACAGGCATGAGCCTGCATCAGTAGGAAATATGCAGCCAGAGCATGGTGCCTTTGCTAGGCCTACACAACAGGCAGAATAGACAATGCTGCAGTGGATGTAAGGCACTTGTAAGTGTAAGCACAGGCTGCCTTCCTCTTCCTAAGCCCCAACCCTTTTGTTTGTGGGGGCTAGGGGAGGGGTAGGGGAATAATTTTGGTGGGGTCATTTCTTTGGCATACATAAATGTATATGAAAAAAAAAAGTTTTTTGTCTCTTCATACAGCAACATTGTTTCCATTACAAAACTGCAAAGAACCTAATGACATTGATGGCATTGATAAAGCTTGTCAGGTGACTATCATAAACTTCACAATACAATGAAACTTAAAAAAGGGGCTAAGGCAAAAAAATGGCTCTAGCAAATGAAAAAGAGTGAGAAAAGCTATGTCATGGCATATGCTCCTTGCTCACTATAAGGCCACTTTCACACCAAGGTGGCACATCACATGTGGCATACCATTAGAAAACAAACATCTGAAAACATATGAAACTTTTCACACATGTGATGTGGCATTGTACACAGATTGCACATAACACATGCCATGCCACTTCTGTGTGAAAGATGTTAATTTTCAAATGGTGTGCCATGTTCAATGTGCCACCTCTATGTGAAAGCTGCGTAACATGAAATGTTTGAATAGCTGAATGTCTAACATTAGTTTCTTTCTAGGGGGCAATGGCCGCAAAAATATTCTGTCTTCAGCAGTTTTTTTTTAGTTTTTTTTTATTAGAAGAAAAGGATCATATTGCATTATGAAGCCACTACTATTATTTGACCTTTTCAGTATATATTGCACCTTCAAAATGCAACTTGTATATGTATATTTTTTTTCCAAAGACTTTCTGAGGGAAATGAGAAACAGAATGTGCTCTTCGCCACAAAAATATTCTGTCTTCAGCAGTTTTTTTTTTTGTTTCTTTTATTAGAAGAAAAGGATCATATTGCATTATGAAGCC